TTTTTTAACCAGAATAGAGTTGATGTCAATGTGTCATCGTGTTAGAGAAGATTAAATTCATATGTTAAATAATCGAGCAGAGTATTCATGAGGTAGTAGACCCAAGCTATGCTTATGAATTTTGAAGGGGGAAACCCCATGCTATTCAGATGATGATAGAACTATTTGAAAGATAATGCGCAGTAAGTGAGTAAGTAGTACCTAAGTTGTGAAGTCGAATATAATGGTAATTTGTGAGTATGGAGACTAAAGGTTAAGGATTGACTACTTGTCATCAGGTCCAAGTGGACGAGTGTTTCTAAATTTGCATCCAGTAGTTGTAAGTTAGTGTAGTAAGCGAGCAATCATATTGATATTCGGGTTTAGTAATAAACACTAAGCATGAATTTGAGATGAGTGTCTTGATCAAAAGGATGGCAACATGAGGGTGATGATGTTGTCTTGAGATTTGAACTAGAAGACCTGACACAGAGTAGGAGATGAATTAAGGTGATTAGCTAAATAAATATGAGTGGTACAAGTGAGATACCCTAAACCTCTTGATAAGGGCAGTGAAGTGTGGCTAAGTCACAAGAGTAAAAAGAGCATTACGAGGTGTACCGATCGGATGTGGAACGGTGGCGACCCAGTCCGCCAATCAACTCGGGGTGTGGACCAGCATAGATTAGGGAGCGGGGGGTGGGGGGTGGGGGGTAAAAAAGGATGTAGACTAGTTAGAGATGTTGGAATAGGTCCATAGCCTCCAAGTGTCAGCTTTAGACCTAATGAGGAGATGATAAGATTGAAAATCAAGTCAAGTGTTAAGAATAAGATAGTAATGAGCTCAAAGGAGTATGGGAGATATCTTTTCAGAGGTCCTTTTAGTAACAGAGTAATGTTAGAGAGAGAAGGTTAATGATCCTATCGTGATAATGATGGTATGATAATTCTGTCTAAGGTTATAAATGAGGAGGAAGAAGAGAATGAAGTTTTACTATGAGAAATAGCTAAATGAGAGCCCTTAGTTAGTTCTAAATAGTAATGTGGGCATCTAATTAGACCCTTAATTGGGTGAGAAAAAACATGTCAGGCTTAGTGGGAAAAGGAAAAGACCAAAATACTCTCCTACAACTGAATGAAAAACCTTAAATAGAGACTTCACTCAAAAGAGCATAATGTTTTACTCCAAGTTTGAAATTAAGCAAACTCGATGGCATTGGAAAGAGGACTCAAAGACCTTCGATTTGATAGCTCGTGGGCCACCTAATTCTTTATGTGCTAAAAGATATGATCATTTGAAGTTAACCCAAAACTAAAAACAGATGGGTGACTTGTACAAATCTCTATTTAGCTCTTTCGAAGTCCGAGGAGTTATTACATAAAGTCTTTCTCATTTAATTATATTTAAAAGTTTATTCAACCTCTTTATTTAAATATGTCTTTCTCATTTAATTGTATTTAAAAGTTTATTCAACTTGTTGATTTAACACCTTCTCACTATTAGTATTTAATTGTCACGCCCCGAGCCTACACCCTGGACGTGGCTGGCACTCGAAGACCATCGCTGGCCCCCAAGCGAACCCTTGGCCTGGCTTTCTTAACTCAGCGGAAAACTCAATGCAATGCAAGGTTATAAAACAACCTAACTGATACAATCTGGCCAAAAAGGCAACTCAAGTCTCAAAATAGAATATTTACATATATACATAGATTAGAGACTCAAAACCAACTGACTGACTGTCTATGAAGCCTCTACAATACTGAGA